AGGGCACGGGGCGGCGGGACCCGGAGCTGCCGGGCGCGGTCGCCGGAATCGGCCCTTCAGGACTCAACAGACCCGAGCCTTTGAAATTCCTGTCCCGGAAAAAAACCAATCCAGCGTCCTAATTTGGTCCAGCCTCAGGCGCACTGGAAAAGGGGGACAGTGGCAGTTTAAAAAGCAAACGCATTTCTTTATAAAGTGGTTTTTACGGTTTTCTAAAGCCCTGTTCCCTGCCTTAGTACCTCACTAGTAGGGGAAGGGGGACAGACCTGCCCTGCACTCCCCCGCAGTCCCCTCTCCTTCCTCGACGGGGGGTGTCAGGAGGTCCCCCAGGCCTGGCNGATTTCCCCCAGGGTATCTTTCTAGTCTCAGACTCACAATTTAAAGAGCTGGAAGGGCTTCGAGACATAATCTAATCATCATAAACGCCAACGTTTATTGAGCAACTTCTTTGTGCTGGGCACCACATTATCCTGTAATATCCTATCTCACAACCCACCTGTCCTATAAGTAGATATTATTCTCCCTTTTCAAATGGGGAAACTGAGGCTCAGAGCAATGAAGGCAGTTGCCCAAGAAGGATGGCAGAGGTGAGACACACAGAACAGAGAAGACAGGCAGAAGTCAGCATGGCCAGCTTTGGCCTTGGGTGGGCAGCTGGAGCAGGGCTGTCCATCTGCTAGGTCAGCCCGGTGATGCCCAGCTCTCCCCTCTCCCCCGCACGTCCTCGGCAGTGAGTGTTTTTGCAGTTGATAAGGGACGATTAGTTGTACCTGTGTGTGGAGGCAAGGAGGGGGCCTCTGTCCCCCCGTTTCACTGTCAATCCCCAAAATCTCCTGTCTGGACCTGGCTGTACTTTCACCTGGGGGATATTTAATGCACACAGCACACAGTGTGCTGTGACGGTTTAGGGTGAGGTGCAGCCAGATCCAGGTTCGAATGCTGGCTCCCACATAAACTGGCTGTGTAGCCTCAGGCAAGTTAGTTAACATTTGTCTCTGAGCATCTGTCCCTTTTGTGTAAGGAGAATGAGTGACACCTACTCCTGAGGGTCGTGTGTCCTGAGGATTGAATGAGGTTTTGCATATAAAGTACCAAATCCGTGCCTGGCATCCTTTGAAGACTCAACAGAGGGTAGTTACTCTAGCTGCTCTTTCTCGGGTGTGGCCAAGCTCAAACTTTGGGCCTCTGAGCCCACAGGACACCTTACAAGTGGCTTGCAGACAGACTGGCCTCCTGCTGATCACCTGCTAGGCAGTCCAGAAGCTGGGAGCAATGATGGCATCAGCATCCTGTTGATCTTGTCCCAGCTAGAGGACACAGGGCAGGGTGAAAACAGGCACCCACATTTGAATCTGAAAAGTCAGGAGTAGGCAGCCCAGGCTGGGGAGTGGAGCTGAGAGCCGTCGGTAGAACTGGGCCCTTCCTCCCTGATGCCTGTAAGGATCCTGTAGGACAGGAATGGAGCTGGATTCTTTAAAACCTCTGCCAAGCAGTGGTCAACAGGTGTCATTGACTAATAGTGGTCAATAGATGTCAGAAAAATAAAGCTGAGCAGGCCCCGTGAGAACCTAGAGGAGGAAGTGTGGTCAAGAGCTCAGACTATGGGGTTGGCTAGGCCTGCATGGATTTGAATCCTGATTCTACAGCTTATTACCTGAGAGGGCCTCGGTTTCCCCCTCTGTAATGTGGTGATCATATTTAGTATCTACTTCCTCGGAGTGCAGTGAGCATTAAAGAGAAAATGCAGGTAAAGTGTTGAGCACAGAGCCTGGCTCATAGTTAAAACCCAGTACACACTAGCTGCTATTGTCATTACTGTTACTATCATCATGTCATCAGCAGCAGCAGCACCACCACCACCTCATAGAGATGTCAGGGAAGACCCCCCCCCACCCCCGAGAGGACATGACATTGGAATCAGTCTCTCAGAGATTAGATGGTGAACGTTGTCATTACTGTTACTATCATCATGTCATCAGCAGCAGCAGCAGCACCACCACCTCATAGAGATGTCAGGGAAGACCCCCCCCACCCCCGAGAGGACATGACATTGGAATCAGTCTCTCAGAGATTAGATGGTGAACACCAGGCAAAGACACTGGGCTTCTAAGACATCCAAAAGAATGCAGTGGTTTGGGAACGAGCAAGATGGGAGACTGGCTGCAGCGTGGTGAGCCTGTGAGGGAGCCGTCAGGGAGAGCTCAGCAAGACAGGCCAGCCAGGTCACTCCAGGCCACGCCAGGCAGGGCCTCACGTATCTCGATAAGGCATGTGGACTTTATTCTGACGGCAAGAGAAGGGCTTGAAATTGGGGAGTGATGTAATCAGATGCATATTTCAGAAGATGAGGTTCGTGGGTGGGAAGGAGGGGCTGCCAGGGAAGGGAAGTAGAGGCCAGTTAAAGGTGGTCAGGAAAAGTGTCACTGAGACAACGACATCAAAGGGGTGTGGAAGAAGCAAAGGGGTGAGCCAGGTGGATATGCAGTGGGGAAACGTCGAGGCAGAGGGAACAGCATGTGCAGAGGCCCAGAGGTAGGGGCGAGCCTGGGTGCTCCAGCAAGAGCAAAAGGCCAGCATGGCTGGAGAGGAGGGAGCAAGGGAGAGTAGTGGGTCGATTGGGCAGGGTCTTGGAGGTGAGTGTAAAGACGCGAGCGAGCTGGCAGGCTTCAGAGGGTTCAGGCAGAAGAGGGACGTGGTCTGACTTTCATTTTTACCCTTGCTGCTGTGTCAAAAATGGACAGAGAGAGCAAGGTGTTTTGTGAGCCCCCAGCTAAGTTGGGGTTCTAGGCCCAGAGCAGCCAGCAACGCTGCCACAATGGGAAATGAGGGGGGCTGGACCTGGGTATTTGCCATGCACCCTTCACCAAAACTTCTACCTGGCGGACTGCCTAATGCCTACTTGTCCAACCCCTGACAGAGAGATAGCAGCTAGAGTAACTACCCTCTGTTGAGTCTGCGAAGGATGCCAAGCACGTGACCAGGGAGGGTCCCTCACATGGGAGACTTTTTTATACTGTCAGATGCCCTTGTGGCTCTTGTCTTCCCCATGTCCAGTTCATGCCTGCCTGACCACTGGCACTGACTTGTATTCTTCTGGTGTCCCTGAGAAAACCCTGCCTGGGACAGCCCCCGGTTCTTCAGGTGGAAGGTGCAAATTGAATCCATCACCACAATAGGAAACAAGGTCAAAGATTTATCACTTACAGATCCTGGGCAGGGAGAGTGCAATGACTCAGGAGGGCAGTCCTCTGCCCCAGGTCCCTCGAGGCAGGAATGAAGACTCAGACAGAAAGAGAGAGAGTGGCAACCAGTGGTATACATAAGGGAGCTGGGTGTGGGTCACTTGAAGTTCTCAGGCAAATGGTTGGATGGTCTGTTTAATGGAAACGGTAGGAAAAGCAGGTAGCCCAGTCTGCTAGGCAGGAAACTCTGGCCACCAGCCTGGGCTATTTGGGGTGATGATCTACTTCTAATGCCTGGGCGGCAACCTTTGCAGTGTTCTCCTTACAAAAGATTGAAGGAGGGAGTCCAGTTAGGAAGACTTTGGAGTAATCCAAGTTATCATAATATTCATTCACTCACTGAACACATATTTGTTATGCAGCTACTGCTTCCCAGTGGTCATGACAGGCAGGCTCTGGGGACTGGCTGAGAACCAGACAGAGCTCCCCAGGGCTGCTGCCTCCTGGAGTCCAGGGGGAGGGAGCACATTAGACGGCTCCTGCTCCGTGCTGTTCAGCTGGAACCCTCAGGTGCCCATGGATGGGAGCTTCCTCTCATGGCACAGATGGGGACTGGGGCCTGGGGAGGGGATGGGGCTGCAATACAGCGAGTCGGTAGCTCCTGGTTCCTCAACTGAGCGAGCACTTTACTGTCCATCCTGCCACTCCTCAGCTCTGAGTGACCATGTCAAGACCAGCCAGCAGGGAGCTCTGGGCTCCATGACCTCTTTCTCGCCCACAGGGAGGCCCCATCTGGCCCTTCCCCAGAACGTGACGCTGCTCTCCCAGAACTTCAGCTTGTACCTGACATGGCTCCCAGGACCTGGCAACCCCCAGAACGTGACCTATTTTGTGGCCTATCAAAGGTAGAGGGTGGCCTCCGGGCTGTGGGTGGGAGACCGAGCCGGAGGGTGGGGCTGGAGGGGCTTCATTAGGAGAGCTGCTTTCGGCATGGTCGGCATTCGCTGGACCCCTGGGTCCCCTGGGAGATGGCACGTGGCAGATGTTTGGAGAGGAGCTTTTGATAAAGGTCTGGAGGTGGGAATGATGTTGAAAGGAGAACAGCACACAGGTGATCGCCCTGCTGGGGATGGGGGTAGATCTTTGGGAAAAGGTGGAGCGGGGTTGGGTGGAGCTGCAAGAGCCAGAGGAGGGGATTCTCGAGCGCCTGGATGAGGTTCTTAGAGTTGTTCCAGATGATTATGAGGGCAAATATATGGCAAAGGGGCTGTTATGGGCTCCTGTGGAGCCTGGGAAATTAGGCATCACTAGATGATCTCATTTTTCCCCGTAGAGCCTGGACAGAGCCTTGGGATCCCTCTTAACTTGTAAGCCCAGGGAGCCACTACTGATCCACTGGGAAATTAGGCATCACTAGATGATCTCATTTTTCCCCGTGGAGCCTGGACAGAGCCTTGGGATCCCTCTTAACTTGTAAGCCCAGGGAGCCACTACTGATCCAGAGAATCTGAAAATAGAAGCAGATTCTCTATCTTTGAAGGTAGATGGGAGTCCTTTGAAGTTCTTTAATAGGACATTAAGATGATAGAAGCAGATACTCAGGAGGATTAGTCTGGAGTTGGTGAGGCGGGGGAGGCAGGAGAGGAAGGAGCTACCATGTCCTCAGGACCCACCCTGTGTCAGACCAAGTGACTATTTCACTTCCTCCTCCTGACATCACCAGGCAGGCCCTGTATTTTCCCCATTTTAGAGGTGAGGAGATTGAGCTCAGAGAGTGCCGGGATTTGTCCAAGGAAGCCAGTGATGGAGCCAGAAGAGGTCTGTCTGACCCCAAAGCTTCTGCTCGTCCTGTTGTGTCATGGTCCCACTGTCTGTGGGATCCAGGTGGAAGTGATGGGGCCTGGCTTGGGCACAGACAGACCGCAATACAGCTTTCCAAACCAAGAACTACATCAGGAGGCAAAAAGCACCTAACGCTTACTGTGCGTGCGCTGTGGGTCGGGCACTGTGTCAGAACATTAAATGTATTTAATCTGACAGCAGCCCTGTGAGGAAGGGCTCAGTACTCTGCCCTCTGTATTCTTTAGACACCTGTGAGGCTTGCAAAATGGCGATATTCTAATGGTATTATTTTTTTCATTTGTTAGTTGAAATTATTTTGTAAAAAGGTGTGTCCTCTCTAGTATTTGATATCCAAGTGATACTACTCAAATAGGCAAGACAAAGTAAATGCTTGATTTTTTTTTCATTTACCAATTTTCAAGATAATGAATTGGTGGGGCCAGCCCGGTGGCGCACTGGATAGTGTGCCACTTGGGAAGCACGGCGGCGCTCCCGCCGAGGGTTCGGATCCCACATACAGACCGGTTCCTGCTCACTGGCTGAGCGAGGCGCGGGAGCAACACCGAGGGTTGCGATCCCGTTGCCGGTCCCGGTCCGGTACGGGGTCGACACTGAGGGTTGCGATCCGATGCCGGTCACGAAAAAAGACAAAAGGAAAAAAAAATAATTAATTAATTAAAAAAAAATAAAATTACACATAGAAATGTGAAGCTTGCAAAAGAAAAAATAACTTTCCCCAGGCTAAAGTCTCTGCTGTAGATAAAGAATTGTAACACAGCAAAATTGCTGGTTCCTAGGGCAGATGTCCTTGGTGCACCTAAAGCTAATGATTGTTGCCATGACAATTATCTTACTGTTCTTTTATAACCACATATGTTCCTTTTCTGTAACTTGCCTGCCTAAAATTGGTTCCCTATCATCTACCAAAGGTGACCAATTAGTTTTTTAAATTATTACGAAATCAAGTATTTAAACATATCTGATGGTTTCAATCCATTGTAACTTAATCTATTCATTGAACCTTGAATTGCCCAATCTTTGGCCAGCAAGTCCCTTTAAGTTGGCTCCTGAATCCTTTTAACTCGATCCTGGTAGTCTTTGATATATTTCGTGCTGTCTGTTAGGATCAGATGTTCCAGACTTATCTTGTACAATGCCTAACCTAAAACCTGCAATCAGCCACTTCTCCATTAGTAGAAAATGGTTTTAAAAAGCACATTCTGTGTGTTAGCTGTGCTGATCACTTCTTAGCCATTGCTTTTAGGCCTTCTCAGTGAACAGAGATAGATACATCACAGAGACACACATGTATACCTGCTCCGTAAGACAAAGCGCCTAATGAGTTCATGCTGATGCTTTCGATCTAAATGCAGCGCCTTAGGATTTCTACTTAACCTCTTCTATATTATATCTGTATTTTCTCTTTCATGCTGAGAATCCTGGTTCTCAAGGACATGGGGAAAAATAGAATTAGAATGACCATAATTACTCATCATTCATTTTGTTTATCCCAAAATATATATAGTAGCCTCCTATAAGTCACTTGCTTTTTTTTGTCCAAAGAGTTGTTTCTTTAAAATCTAGTAATTTTACTCTACTATGTGTTGGTGTTGGTCATTCCTCCTGGGTTGATATTTTTAGGCACTCAAAATTCTTTATAAATACATAGTTATAAGACGTTTTTGTTTCAGGAAAGTTTTCTTAAGGAATTGTTTTTGGTATTTTTCCTGTTCCCTGGCTTTGATTTTCTTCTTCGGGGACACATATCATCTGTATGTTGAGTCTTCTTTTTCTGTCTTCAATTTTTGTGTTTTTCTCTCAAATCCTACTTATTTATTTATTTATTTATTTATTCTGTTCTCTAAATGGAATAGATTTCACTCTTGATTTTTTAAAAACTATGTGTGCTTCCATGTTTGAAATTATTCAATATCTCATTCGTATTCTTTATCTTGGTTAGATTTGTTTTTCCTTAGACTCTAGTCCCCTTTTAGCTGACATGTTTTTAACTGAGAATGCACATTTTTTATCATAGCCTTGTTGAATGAATTCCATTTTTCTCTTAAAATCAACACTATTGAGTTTAAATTTATATAGACTAAAATGCTCCCATTTTAAAGTATATAGTTTGATGAGTTTTGACAAATGTATATACCCATGTAACCACCACCACAATCAAGATCTAAAGTACGTCCATCACCCCAAAAAGTTCCCTCATGCCACTTTGCGTTCAATTCCCATTCATTTTGTATGTTCCAGAATTTCATATAAATAGATTTATATAACATGCACCCCTTTTGTGTCTGGCTGCTTTTATTTAGCATAATGTTTCTGAAATTCGCCCACATTGTTTCATGTATTACTAGTTCATTCCCTTTTATTGCTGAATAGTATTCCATTTTGACTTGTACTACCATTTCTTCATCCATTTTCCCCATCGATGGATATTTGAGTGATTTCCAGTTTGGAGAGTGTATTAGTTTGCTAGGACTGCCATATGCTCTACCCTTGAGACTCTCCAAATTCATGTCCTTTTCAAATGCAAATTACATTCACCCCCATCCCAACAGCATTTACTCTAAGTCCAAAGTCTAAATTAGGTATGGGTATGACTTGAGGTATGATTCATCCTGAGGCAAAATTTCTCTTCACCTATGAATCTGTGAAACTAGACAAGTTATGTGCTTCCAAAATGAAATGGTGGGACAGGCACAGGATAGACTTTCCTCTTCCAGAAGAGAAAAATAGGAAAGAAGGAAAGAGTAACATGTTCCAGCAAGCCCAAAACCTGGCAAGGCAAATTTCATTAGATGTTAAGGCTCAGGAAGAATTGTTTTTGGCTCAATGTTTTGCCCTCCAAGCTCACTAGGGTGGCAGCTTCACCCTCTTTGCCCTGGGTTGCAGCCCCACCCCTGAGGCACTGGGCAGCAGCAGCCTGGCCTGCTGAAACTGAGGGGGAGATAGGCTTGCCCCAAAAATTCATGTGCTGAAGCCTTAACATCCAGTGTGACTATAGTTGGAGACAGTGCCTTTAAAGAGGTAGTTAAGGTTAAATGATGTCATAAGAGTGGGACCCTAATTCAATAGGTCTGATGTCCTTATAAGAAGAGGACAGGGGAAAAAAAAGGAAGAGACACCAGGAGTACACACTCAGAGAGAAAAGGCCATCTGCAAGCCAAGGAGAGAGGCCTCAGAGGAAATGAAACCTGCCAATGCCTTGATCTTAGACTTCTAGGCTCCAGATTTCTGTTGTTTAAGCCACCTGTCTGTGGTATTTTGTCATGGCAGCCCTAGCAGACTAGTACATCAGATTTTTTTTTCTTCTATGGTTAAGGCTTTTGGTGTCCCAAGCAACATTTGCCTCACCCGAGGTCATGAAGATTTTCTTCTTTGCTTTCTTCTAGAAGTTTTATAATTTTAGCTTTGATGTTTCAGTTTCTTTTTAATTTTTAAAACTTTCCTTCTTTTCATCTTCTGTTTCTTTTTTTTTTTTTTTTTCCCTTTCTTCGTGCCCGGCAACGGACTGCAACCCTCAGTGTCGCACCCGTACCGGACCGGGACCAGCAACGGGACTGCAACCCTCAGTGT